ACAATATCGTTTAATATTTAGTATCTACTGTTATCTACTGCTAGCTAGTTTATTGTGATGATGCTGTTTTTATTATGTTGCTCTTTTTTGTTTGTTTTCTCTTCTTTTTTTTTCCCCAAACAGGTGATCCAGGCGTTTTGTTTGTTTTTCTTTCTTTCTTCCCCCCTTTCTCACCGTCTCTTCTCCCCTCTGGTTTTCTTTCTCTCCCTCTCTTTCTTTCATTCTTTCTCCCTGTCCTATCCCCCAGTCATGTCTGTCCCGTTTGTAGCAACCGAAAATAAAATAAATTCATAATTATAATAAAGGTCAATCAAATGGACCAATATGGCAAGGCCATGATGATCCACTTGGTAAAGTAAATCCGTTGGGCATCTTTCTTGGCCTTAAGACAACAATTCTGATGGCTAAAGATCCAAACGGGACACAAAAAAAAAAAGGAAAAAAAAAAAGAGCTACATCTCAAAATCTACAATCAGTTAGCATGTCAGCAGTACAACAGTAAATGGTAACATTAGAGAAAGACTAAACGCAGCTGGGACTAAATGCAGCTCCAGCCTCCACATAAATTAGATAAGGCAAGACCAAAGTGTAGATATCTTGCCACAGTAGATGTCACCGCATCATATCTGATGCACACTACATTATCATAAATACCTTATACCAACTGTCAACATTATTTGGGTTTGGAAAAGTTCTCAAAGAAGTTCTTTGATCGACCTTCAGAGCCCTACTTGCACTCACTGAGATGCTAGTTCAAGTACAGTCAGTGGAAGCTGTTTTTCCAACCCCACACAACAATGAACAAAGTCAGTTGACATTTGATTTGGGCTTGTTTAGCAGCCACGGGATCTGAGCATCTTGCAGTCACTGCAGTCGACCATGTTGACATTCTAGAGTAAGGCAATCTCTCCGAGAGCTAAAGGTTGGCTGAAACCAAGTCATGCAACAGGGCAATGATCCCAAGCACAACAGCAACTCTATAGCAGAATGGCTGGAAAATGGGAGAATCATGGTGTTGCAATGGCCCCCCACAATGTAAGAGACTGAAGTCACACAGAAAACTATTACGAAACTATACTCAGGGTGGTTCTACAGTACAATCTACTGGATCTTGGCATTTTACAATAAATAAAGGCATGACAATAAACCATGCCAATGTTTGCCACCTTGATATGAATATCAGTTTCCAGTGTGGACTCAGTAAAGATGTATCTGTCACCCCTACTTTCAGGCAGTGTGGAGCATTATGACTCTTTATACTGACCCACATTATCAAACACATCCCCTCACTCAAATCGGGAAATACCTCAAGTGAGTTCATCAAACAAAACCCTGCTTGGCAAATCCAGTGCAACATTGAAAACAACCTGCTGCCCTCATAAAAAGTCACAAAGTGATTTACTAAACTGCATTCAACATACTCCGCTGACAAAGACTTTCCCACAATAAAAGGCACATAAACATGATTAAACACCCTCACAAAACTTTTATAGTAGCAGTAGCTGTTGGTTAGGTTGTACGTAGTTAATCAAAAAAATTTTGTGCAGAAAGCTTCTCCAACCCTGTCACCAAGCAAGAAATTTGATTACACTCAGTGTCAGCATTTTTAAAACTCTTCCTTTCAACATTTTTACACAACCTGCCCACTAGGTTATGTTATGGTTATGACTATTGCTGATCACACATCTGTAAAAGTAGGCAGGCTCTGGTCTTTATGAAAGTTAGACCTGCCTCCACCACCCAGACCTTCCTACCACCTCACACCACATCAGATCTATTTTCTGTAGATACTGGGCTGAATGTTTGTCATTTACATAAGCACATAATCTACTTTTGTTTTAAATTACTGCCTGGGAGGCCTTTAGAAAGTCAGCTTTTCATGTCTTTAAAAAAAATCCTGTCCTTAATTCTCTCCTTAACAAAGGCACACAGACACACATTTGGTGTAACCAGCGCAGTGTATCAGAACACTCATTTTACTGTAGAGCACTATTACATTGTTTACAGTCAATCAAAAGCTTAATCAAGTGAAGAGCAGCCTCCAGCAGCTGCTTGGCATGCTGAAGTGCATTCAGTAGATGGTGTGTGTATTTTAGTCCAGCCTCAAGTAGATCTATATGCGTGCATGGCTCATATTGTTATATAGCAGCAAAGGAGAAATTAGTGCATCACCTCTGTGATGAAATGTCACTAATTAGCTCCCTGTTCCTTAGTAACTGAACAACATTTGACCTTTTCATGTGTCCCAACACAGGCACTGAAGCTTCAATGTCCCCTCATTAAGCACATCGAGTGCATGTTTACTCATCCATACACTAAAGCTGACGCACCTCTAAGTCAAATAATAGATGTTAGGTCATAAAACATGCGATCGGCGGTGACCAAGAAGAAGAAGTTCCCCTGCATGAACTTACAGCAAAATGAAGAAGAAGAAGGGTGGCATACTAAATGTTAGAAACTAATTCACAAGAAAATAGTATGCAGCAAGTTGAGAAAACAAATAGATTCTTAGAGCATGTGCATGGGTAAAGAATTAAGATGGGAAAACATAGCTGTGGCCTCATCTTTTTTTTTTTTGCTCACAAGCAGGTGATAAGCTGCAAAAAAATTATAATTCATGACACTGCATGGTGATCAGGCATGAATCAAGGAGTGACAGACAGGCTACTGAAATCATAAATGCATCTTCTTTCATGATGGAGACTGGATTGGTTACTTTGTCACTCACATAGTCTATTCCCACAATGTGCCAATCACTCAGCTTGACAGTACGGATAAGAAAATACAAGTTGATGAGGTAAGTCTCTCCTTTGGGTGCATGAGTGGAAAAATCCGAGAAAAAAAGCAGCTGAAGGTATACGGATGATGAATACATGTAAAAAAAACAAAACAAAAAACAAAAACAAACAGCTGTAGAGGCACAAGTTGTTCATTCTTTTTGGCTAACGAATGTGTGGGAAAATTATAATTGATGATAAGCAGTGGTATTCACACGAGAGTCAAGTACTTATAGAGAGGCTTAGATTCAAATTAAAATCAATTTTAAGGCTGGAGACAGGATTAGGGTACTTGGCTGGTCAAGCAATCCGCAAGATGTCAGTCGGTGTGATAACGGTGATAAGAAACTCCAAAACAAGAACATCAAAATAAGAAAAAAAAGTTTACATTTGCGTTGTTCTCTTTGTTATTATTATTGATTTATTCATGTTTGCTTGCTCTCGACAGTAGGTGTGTGTGAAGTTGCAGTGAGCACACGGTATCCCTCTTTCTCTTTGCCAAACTTTTAAAAAAAAATGTTCATGTGAGGCTCTTACCTGTGTCGGGCTCCACGCCTCCCTTGCGCACAGTCAAATATTCACCCTCTGCGCGTGTATTCCCCTTATATTCCTACTGGCATGTCAGAAATGTGAAAGCTGCCGCGAGCCCGGCGAGTCCGATATGCACGGGCTGCAGACAAGTGACCGTCCCACCAAGAGAGAGAGAGAGAGAGAGGCGGGGTGATCGTTGCCGCCATCGCGTGGCAAAGGGGGAAACTGCATGCTATAGTACAGCTGCGGGTGACCAACTGGCCAACTTCATGTGAGAGTGGACATCATATTTTACCTCTCTATCTCACATAATTAGAAGATACTTCACATTTGCAGTGGTCAAAAGCCTTCACTGTAGGTGCTTCTAAAGTCAGGCTTTTTACGCAGCTGATGTGACGAAAGAAGGTTAACCTGTTTTCACACCCGACGGGAAGGGGCGTTTCTAAGATTTTTTTTTGACCGGGTGGCACGGGGCGGGGAGGGGGGCAAGAACGAGAATATTTAATCAAAACAAAATCAGACGTGGAAAAAAAAAACAGTAGTGCAGCAAATATACGAAACATACTTGGATATATGTTTTTCAAAGTGGATGACAATATGCAGTAAAGTTTACAGTCTTGTGCAGCTCAGTGCTGAGGTGTTTGATGAAAATATTTCATCAAACACCTCAGCACTGAGTTTTACCTACAGTTTTTCAGATTCAAATGGAAAAAGTGATTCTGTGTTGTGTCTGGGTTAGGGTTATATATCACATTTTTGTCACTTGATTTTTGGTGCATCATTGCATCCTGGTACCTTACATTTCCCTTTACCCTCTCTCACACCCACAAACTTGCACACATGTCATCATTTATATACACACTATTGCTTAACGACACGTACGACCATTAACTGATCCCTGGTCTCCTTACTGTTCCTTTCTGTGGATCTTGCTCACCGTTTCTCTCATCAAGTTCACTGAATGAACTTGAATGACCCTAACTGTCCCATTACATTTTTTCATCCCATAAAAAGTTCTTGTGCCCATGTTAGTCAGTGGTTTGCCTGCTTATATATCCCACTACTCCGCACTCTCAAAGTGTGAACACAGAGGTTCTCCCTGTGACCCTCCCTCTTCACCACACCTGATCCAAATTTAATGTTGACCAGTTAGCTGAACTTGGTGACTGCCCCTGTATGTAACTAATCCGTCTTTACAACGTCAATCTAAATTACGGGCAACACCTCAACGCATCACTCTCTGGTGCAGGTGGGCACTTTACGGTACCTCAGAGAAAACAGAAACAACATTAAGCTAGCAAGAGTTCGCAAGGTCGCTCGTGTGGATAGTCACAGATAAATAAGGAATTAGTTCGGACCTGGACCTAGTTTTAAAAAGTTGAGAGTTACTGGTGTTCTAACAGTACCATTTACAAGCCAAACAGAAGATAAACGTCGTTGCACTCAGATTCTGAATGTCTAAACTACCAGGAAATGCAGGTGTATCGCTGCTCGGGGACAAGTCCCTGGAGTTCTACCGGGACCCGGTGAGCTTCTGCCAGCAGAGGATTGAAAAACACCGGAGCAGAATGTTTCTCTGCCGCCTAATGAACAGACCGACAGCCTTTATCTGCTCCGTGCAAGGGATGAGAGAGCTGCTGTGTGGTATAGTGTTTGAACACTTTCTCTTTTACGACACATAGTTAAACTTTGCTTCCACAGTCAAAGGGATATATGGAAAGAAATTTCCTCGAGTAGTCCATGGGAGAGACTCGGGATAGTATTGGGGGAAAATATTATTATTATAGAAGTATAATTGTTTTTACCTTTACAAATGATTTAAATACTTGCACTTTAATAAATTACTCATATTATATTGCACACTTCAAATGAGGATAGGGCCTATTCAGTGACCAAAATATACCAAGAGAGAGAGAGAAAATGGATTTTTTTTAAAGCGTTAATGTTAACACACTGTATTTATTTGTGATTTAAATTTTTTTAATACATGACTTACTGGACATTAAAGGTTTATAATTTAAATTTTAAAGCACATGCTAGCGGTAGGAATTTGTGTAAACAAATTTAGTCCCCTAAATACAAATATCTCCAACCTTAATTTAATCGTTTCTGCCTCTCACATTTAAACAGTTTAAATATCCCATGGCATGATTTATTCAACTTATGCATCGTGATGTGATGATATTTTTGTTATGCTGTAAAATAGGAATGAGATCACAGATGCACTCATGAGAAAAAGCGGAGATTTTCCATGCATGTCCCGCTTTGTGTTTAGTACAAATGAACCAAAGTGTGACGTGGACGTTTGATTGAAGAGTATGCAGTGATGTTATGTGATGTGTTTCAGAGAAGTCCAGTTTGTTTCTTAAGGATCCAACTGACTTGATGACAAACATGTATGGTGACACCATTGTTACTACTAATGGTAAACACTCACACACATACAAGATGGCCCACACTTAAAGTACATTCAATTTGAGTATCAATTTTCCCTTCTCTACTCCACATGCTTTAAATACAAGCAAAACACTTTGCAAACAGTGACATGCGTTGGTATATTTTAGGTGAGGAGGCATGCCTTCTCCGCCTGTCACTTACCAGCCTCTTTACAGGAAGCTGTTTGGGATCGTGGAGTGATTATATCACAAGGTAATCATAATATTGTTACAACAGTAATTCATGTATTTGATAGCTGGGGGATGCCTCTGACTGAGGTTTGGGTTGGCGGCAGAAATAATTGCATAGATACAGTGGGGCAAAAAAGTATTTAGTCAGCCACCGATTGTGCAAGTTCCCCCACTTAAAATGATGACAGAGGTCAGTAATTTGCACCAGAGG